GAGTGGACGTGATAGGTCGAACAGTCGAAGGCACGGGACTACGATGCGCAGCTTTAGCTGACAAATCGCTTCTGTCCGCCTAGAACGTGCGCGAATTCCGCTCCTAGACAGAGGCAAACCGGAACTGGCCCCAAAGGAACAATGTTCAAACAAGTTCGAAAATGTATAGTGCATAATCGTATGTAGAATGTACATTTTGCTCACTAAGTCTGCAAGCGACCCAGTACTACCATCCCTTGCGCCGGACCAATATCATTCAGATGGCAAAGGCCCTGTACCAAAGAAGCATAAGCTAGAAGACAGAAAGTTGGAGCATCATGATCTTGATGCCCGTACGGGAAGTCATAGGAATCCGAGGAATCCGCGCACTAATCTTAATCCATGTTCTAATATTCATCTTGAAGCTCACTGCAACTGCGTGGAAACTGTGTATTTTCTAAATCTACGACTCTGAGTGTTGAAGTTGACTATTCAAGCACTAGTCTGCAAAGGCGTGAGTCCAATTCGCGCAACTTGGCAAGCCGCGTCTTGCCGTATCTGTCGCCCACTGCCCACCGCGAAACAAGAATCAACCAAACCAAAACCTCCCAGAAGACTTCTTCCCACCCCTGCCATTAAGCCAAAGCCTGAGACCACCTACAGACCTCAACACGACGTCACATGCAGAAGAACCAGAGAAGCCCAACCCTGCACTGGTCGACGTCGGCCCTCTGAAGCCTCTGAGAGATACTCGTAAATACCATCCTCTCAAGTCCAACAAACGAACAAGTTGGAACAACAAAAAATAACAACAGGCGTATGCTGGCGTATACCTAGTCCCAGAGAGCCCAATACCCCTTAATCGAGAAATAAACCTTAAATCATAATTAAAAGCCCCTTACAGTTTAAGGTATATTCCTTAATTAAGGGGTATTGGGCTCTCTGGGTTTGGGATCCAGGGTTCAACACAAGATTTCGGAAACTCTAAATTTATAAGCCCTAAACCCTAAACCCTGAAAGCCCCAAGCCCTAAACCCTAAACTCTGAAAAACCTAAACCCTAAACCCCAAACCCTTAAAGCCCCAAGCCCTAAACCCTTCAACCCTAAACCCTAAAAATGATGTCCTTGCAGCTGAGCAGCCGCTGCTTCAGAAACTCTGGGGTTTGCTTTGGAAGACGAGGCGCGGTCAGGCGCCTGACAGTTCCCCACAGGGCCCTCCACTCAGTTAGGGGCTTGGGGTTATGGAGTTCAGGGGTTTGAGGTTTGGGGTTTCGGAGTTTGGGGTTCAGAGTTTACGGGTTTGGAAGTTTAGGGTTTTGGGGTTCAGTCCTGAGGGACGTGAGGTCGAACATGTTTTGGAAGCCTCAAAGCCTCGTGCCGGCAGGCCCAAATTTTGCGTGGCTTGGTGTTGAAGCGGTGGAGCTCTAAATCTCGGATAGCCTAATCCAATCCCAAGCCCCTCAACTCTAAACCCCAAACTCCTAAACCTCAAGCCCCTAAACTGAAAAACCCCAAACTCCTAACCCTCAAACCCTAAACTCTAAACCCCAAACACTCCTAAACCTCGAACCCCTAAAGTCTATAACCCCGAGCTCCTAAACCTCAAACCCCTCAATTCTAAACCCCAAGCCCCTAAACCTCAAACCCCTAAACTCTAAACGCCAAGCCCCCAACCCGAACTCTTGCAATTGGCAAACCAGCTCGGGAGGAGAATGGGGACAAGGAGGCGAGGATGATGATGATGATGGTGGTGATGGTGGTGATGGTGATGATTATGATGCTGATGACGATGACGATCACGCAGATGAAGATGAAGGTGATCGCGACGACCACGGCTGCAGCGCGGGTGATGGCAGTTGTGGTGGTGGTGGTGGTGGTGGTGGTGGTGGTGGCGGCGGTGATGGCGGCCGCGGCACTAGTCCTGCTACTACTGGTGGTTGGTCGTCGCAACCTCCGCAACAATCCCAACCAGTGAAGTTATCAATCAGGGTCTAAGTCTAAGGGTTGTGAAACGGTACCCCTAAACCCTAAACCCTAAACCCCTAGACCCTAAACCATAACAACTTCTACTGTGCAGGGGCCGCCCTGAGTAGAAACGAGCTGGCCGCCTGCATCCCAACCCGGGAGATCTGGACGACGAATCGTCGCTCCTCCTGCAGGGCTCGTGCTAAGCAACCTTACATTACCTATAGTCTCCATTGTAGTTCCTGTTTTTCGTTTAACCAACTATAGATTCAGGATTATATAAGGTATCCCCATAAAGGAACTACAATGGAGACTATAGGTACTTTAAGTTACCATAAGACGGATCAACAAACTATAAGAGTAAATCTTGTGGTTTCCGGAGTACGGTAGCTTCCCTAAGGGTCCATGTATTCATATAGTATATACATTGGCCCCAAAGTACCTATATAGCGACTGCTTTAAGGCCAAAGCATCTACTATTTGGGCACATGGACCCCCTAAACCCTAAACCCTAAACCCTAAACCCTAAACCCCTAAACCCTAAACCCACTATTTGGGCACATGGACCCTCAGGGCTTGAAACACATTCCTTGACGAGAACCCCGGCTTGCTGCGCCCCCGGATCTCCAGAGGTTCTGGGTTTGGGCATTGCCTCCTGCAGCCCGTGAGCCGAAGTAGTTCGAATCGATGTTTATAGGGTTTAGGGTTTAGAGTTTGAGGGTTGAGGGTTTGAGGGTTTAGGGCTTCAGGGTTTCAGGGTTTGAGGGTTTCGGGGTTCAGCAAACAGGCTTTTGGCAGATCTCTGAGTATCGCACTGCCATTTGATTACTTTTGAATGCATGATTACCGAGTCCCAATGATGCTAATCCAAGAAGAGTACAGCTGCAGCAACGACGAAAAGACTCATCATATAAATCAACGTAATAGTCAGAAGCACCAGATAGTTTTAAGCTGGCCTCAAAGTTGGGGTCTCTTGTGTTCTGGAATTCCCATATAGCCCATCGTAAAGCCATTCCGACACCCTTCTAAAGCCCTTGTACAGCCCTCTTAATTTGGGCTCAGGGGATAGGATTCCAGGATCCCTAAACCCAAAAACCCCAAAACCCTAAACCCTAAACCCTAAAGCCCTAAACCCTAAAACCCTAAAACCCTAAAGCCCTAAACCCTAAATCCTAAAGCCACATCCCAAAGCCTAAACCCTTAAGCCGGCCTGGGCCGAGTGAAGGAGCAGGTAGACCTGCAACGACTCGAAGGGGTAACCCAAAACCCCAAAACCCAAGGCGCTAAACGCCCAGGGCCTAACCCCTAAACCCAAGAGCTCTCAAGAAGTCCCAAACTATCCTAAACTAAGGGACTAAGACTTGAGCGTTCAGTTCCTTTTCTAGCTGGCGCATGAAAGGCTAAGGGTTCGTTAGGTGTAGCTCAAAGAGACCTGTCTCCACTTCGCCGCTTGATCTGGGACTCGCATTTCCAAAAATGCTTCCTTTCGGGGTTTGGGATTTGGGGCTTTAAGATTTTGGGATTTAGGATTTTAGGGCTTGAGGGTTTGAGGGTTTTACAGACGGTCCAACTGAGGAATGAACATCAAGCTAATCGTAGGGGACACTCTAGCACTCGATCACGTCTTGGACCCACTTCAACTTCCGCAACATGAACCCTACAAGCAACATCTAAATCCACAAAGCTTCAGATTCGGAGCAGGAGACAGCGTTCAGGGCATCCGAAGACCTTGGGTGGTGTTGGTTTACGCTAAAAGCATCAGGGAACCTTCGTGCAGAGGGCATATTGAGCCACAAGCCTTCGGTAAATGATCTGAACAGAAATCTACGGGTTTAGGGTTTAGGGTTT